TCACTGTCCAACACATATACTAATAATAATATTTCTTATGTTTCATGTTGACCTTGCTTTTCAATTGTATTCCACCACTTTTCCCACCTCTTTTGCTTTCTTTCTCGCGCTATTTGCTTTCTCTTTTTAACCCCACTCCCCCCCCTCTCTCTCTCTCTCTCTCTCTCTCTCTCTCTCTCTCTCTCTCTCTCTCTGATAGATCTCCCTCTTGTACCCCCATTTGACCCACTATCTCCCTCCTCTCTCATCCTCTACCAATATTTTGACAGCCATAATTCAGTTGCTCCAGATCATCCCACCGCAGAGAGACCACATTATTCCAGGCATCCGCAATCCAAGCTTATCCCACGTGTGTGTCCGTGTGCGTGTCTATGTGTGGGTGTGTGTGGAAATATCTAACTACGCGTATTGCTAGGAAACCAACAAGAAATCACCGGAACAGTTAAAACAATTCATCATGACCTGCACGGGGGAAAGAAAAAAGAAATCCCTGATGATATTCATAAACTGGAATCTGATTTATTCGCCTAATTTCAATTCGGAATCAGCTTTAAGGGAGGTAACTTGCAGCCCCTTTATTGATTCCAGAATGACAACGTGTGAAAGTTGCTTCCCTTATCTGACTCGAACCACCAGCCATTTTGTTCCTTCAGGAATTCCTAAACCTGATATCCTGTCAGTTTCTTCCATACTCAAGTTTATGAAACTGGTTGTTTTGACAGAGGTCGTGTGGATGGTAACTGGTATGGACTTTACATACAGTTATCCCCCCCCTCCCCATTTTCTTTGCAGAAATGCACTCTCAGTTCTTATGTAGAATCAATATAGGCACATACAGCCTCCCCCCCTCCCCCAAACCAGTCACATACATCTTAATAGTCTACTGTTTATTGTTTATTCGACTGCTCAACATCATGGCACACGGGTGTAACGCATTATTGCTTCGTTCTCCTAACACAACCATGAGTCTGAAGAATCTCTGCGCAAGGCACGAACTCCGTTGCACCGGCGAGAATCCTGAAATATTTTAGATAGATTGTTAACTCCAATTTTTGCCCGGGCAACGCGTTAGGCTAGTCTGTTTGATTTCCAACTGCCAAATGATTTTTTTACGTGGGCAACAATACACACGGGCGTCCTATCTTACTACACAGAGACCAGAGGGAGATACTAGAAGTCCACGTGAAAAAATCCCAGCTTTCATCGGGGCTTGAACCTGGGACCTCCAGCACTCGAGGTAGACACCATGCCTCGAGACCACTCAGTCCCCCTCTTAACGTAATAGTTAAGACCAGTCCTCATGACCCGAAGAGCACTGCACGTTACACCTGACGGCTGCAACTGTTACTGATGTCCTAATCATAAGTTCTTCAGAGGTTGAACGGGGAGTAGTCCTGTTGCCTTGTGCTTGTCTTCTGGGTGGAGAGATTGTAAACATGGGATGGTCGAACGTTCCAGTAGCGGTCCAAACGAGACACAGATAGGCAGACAAGCAGGCAGACAGATAAACAGACGAATAGACATAACAGGGTCAGTCATTCATTCATCTGCAAGGTAATGACCTAGGCTTCCAGATGGACCCAACCTTAAGTGTGTACCCGGTACAGTCCTGGGAAGTAAAGGCGACCGGTGTGCTTCTGACCACATCCCCCACCGAGTGCCAGTCGCTCTATAAAATATAGGTCTGGCCCTATGTGCCCAGTACGAAGGCTTGAAAACGTCTTTCACTTGCGACTTGAGAATGACAGAAAGGAAACCAGAGGCACATTTTCAGGAAGCGGCTTGAAATGTCAAAACTAGAACGCACACGGGGATAGTTCTCTAATCTTTTGTGTGGCTAAAGAATATTACTGTTAGTTGTTATGAAATAATTGTTATTTATTTATTCATTGCCTAGGCGTTAATTTTAATTTTGTGGAATTGATACTTTTTAACCGTTCACATTCCAATTGTTACTTCACATATTTATGTTCTTGCTGTTATCATTTATCCTTTTTCTTGTTACTTTATAATGTTATATTAGTTGTTACGTTAATGAATCTTCTTATTTTAATATAGTTCTTAAATGTTTGATATTTTAACTATTTTCTGTTGTAACATAGTGTATGTCAGCTCTGTGGCTAAGTCGATGCGAACGCTTCGTAATGCCGGGATGCCGGGTTCGATCCCAGATGTGTGCCATGCGCCTTGATTTGGTTTCGACAGACCAATCGGAACTAGGGCTATATTTGTATAGACCAATCGGAACCAATGCTATATTTGTAGAGACCAATCGGCAGTTGGTAGGTGATGTGATCAACATTACGCCGACCGCATTTACTTCCAATGTGTTTTACCTTGTTCTTTTACCTTCTACCTCGTTCCCCTCCCCCCTTTTTCCCCCCTAGTGGAGCATAGGCCCTCAACCAACTCACGCCAAGTCGGTTTATCCTTCGCTATCGCATGCACCTCTCCCCATGTCCTCGCCATCTTTTTTACTTCACTCTCCAGCTCTCTTCTTCGTGTGTTTGTCATCTTCCTTTATCTCATTACCCCGGTGGGTTCCAGTGCACAGACATTCTAGTTATATTGTTCTCAAGATTTTCAACCTGTGTCCTACTTATGTGATTCTATCATACCATTTAATTTCTTATATTCGGTGTTGCCACTAGTTAATGACTGTTTGTAGTTTGTTGCTAATGGCCTCAGTTGTTCTCTATGTTTCCATACAAATGTATTGGTTAGACATCAAAATTACAAATTCTTTGTTTAGTATTAGTTTGAATTTGTTTTTACATCTAAAAATGTCACTGTACTCTACAGTCGCTGTGGCCTTTTGTATTCGTATTTTAATATTATCAGTTCCCCCATCTTTATCTACATTACTGCCATAATAGGTGTACGACTCCACATCTTGAAGTGGGATGCCAATAACCTGGTACCCATTTAATGCTGGGTGAAATTTCTGCGTTAATTATCACTTTAAATGTGTATGTTGCAGATGTCATTTCAGACTTATCTGTTCGAGTTGTTAATTTAACTTTGTGCAAGCCAATTATGTCATCATACACATCATCGCCATCATACACATCATCACCATCGTACACATCCTCACAATCATACACATCATCACTATTACACACATCATCATTATACACATCATCATCACACACATCATCACCATCATAAACACAATCACCATCATACACATCATCATCATGCATATCATCATCATACACATCATTATCATGCATATCATCATCATACACATCATCACCATCATACACATCATCACCATCATCACCATCATACATATCATAACCATCATACACACCATCACCATGCACATCATCATCATCATACACATCATCACCATCACACACATCATCACCATCATACACATCATCATCATCATACACATCATCACCATCATACACATCATCAAAATCATACACATCCTCATCATCATACACATCATCACCATCATACACATCATCACCATCATACACATCATCATCATCATACACATCATCACCATCATACACATCATCACCATCATACACATCATTATCATGCATATCATCATCATACACATCATTATCATGCATATCATCATCATACACATCATTTTCATGCATATCATCATCATACACATCATTATCATGCATATCATCATCATACACATCATCACCATCATACACATTATCACCATCATCACCATCATACATATCATAACCATCATACACACCATCACCATGCACATCATCATCATCATACACATCATCACCATCACACACATCATCACCATCATACACATCATCATACACATCATCACCATCATACACATCATCACCATCATGCACATCATCATCATCATACACATCATCACCATCATACACATCATCACCATCATACACACCATCACCATACACATCATCATCATACACATCATCACTATCATACATATCATCACCATAATACACATCATCACCATCATACACATCATCACCATCATACACATCATCACCATCATACACATCATCACCATCATACACATCATCACCATCATACACACCCTCACCAGACAAATCATCATTATCATCATACACATCATCACTATCATACATATCATCACCATAATACACATCATTACCATCATACACATCATCACCATCATACACATCATACACATCATCACCATCATACACATCATCACCTTCATACATATGATCAGCATCATACACATCATCACCATCATACACATCATCATCATACACATCATCATACACATTGTCATCATCAAACACATCATCACCATCATATACATCATAAACATCATCATCATACACATCATCACCATCATACACATCATCATCCTCATCATACACATCATCATCATCATTCACATTATCACCATCATACACATCATCACCATCATCAACATACACATCACCATAATACACATCATCACCATCATATACACTATCATTATCATACTCATCATCACCAATATACACATCATCATACACATCATCGCCATCATACACATCATCACCATCATACACATCATCATTATCATCATATACGTCATCATCATACTAATCTTCATCATCATACACATCATCATTATACACAACATTACCATCATACATATCATCACCCTCATACACATCATCATAAGCATACACACCATCATCATCATAAACATCATCACCATCATACAATCATTATTATTATAAAAAATTATCACCATCATACACATGATCATCTTATATACGTCATCGCCATCATAACATCATCACCATCATACATATCATCATTATCATCATTTACATTATAATCATCATCATACACATCATCATCATCACACACATCATCACCATCACACACATCATCACCATCACACACATCATCACCATCACACACATCATCACCATCACACACATCAGCACCATCATACACATCATTGCCATCATACACATCATCATGTGTCGTGCCGTCTAACTCCCACAGCCAAGGATATGGTCGACTATATCGCCGACTACCTGCAGCAGATCAGGGACCGAAGAGTGTTTCCGGACGTCAAGCCTGGCTACATGCAGAGCCTGGTTCCCGACGAGGCGCCCGCACGGCCGGACAAATGGGAGGACATCTTTGCTGACGTCGAGCGGGTCATTATGCCAGGGGTGAGTCTTTTTGTTGGTCATAGTCTATCTATACCTTCATTTAATACGTTCTTTTGTTCGTTCTTCTGTCCATTTGCCAGCTCGTGTCCCTCCATCCAAACAATCATCCATCCATCCATCCACCCACCATTCATTCAGTTATTCATTATTTCATTAACCCTTAAACTATTCACCCATTTGTCCAACCATCTGTCCAACATTCATTCCTTTATTCATTCATTCATTAGTTTGTTCATTCATTGATTTATTCGTTCGCTTGTTCTTTGGTTAATTCATTTATCCATGTGTCCATCCATCCACCCATTTATTCACGTATCCATTTGTTCATCATTCCATCCACCAATTAATTCATTACTTCATCCATTTGTCCGTCCGTTTATTCGTACATCCACCCATTCATTTATTCGCCTATTCATCCATTTTTTCACCACACCATCCCTGCATCCATCCATCCATCCATCCATCCATCCATCCATCCATCCATCCATCCATCCATCCATCCATCCATCCATCCATCCATCCATCCATCCCATCATTTATCCATTATTATAAAATAAGTTTAAAATAGTCTACCCATTTTAGTCTACCTATTCATTCTTTCATTTATCCATTCATCCATTCACACTCATCCATCCATTTGTTAGTTAATTCATTCATCCACGGATTCACTGCACTCGTCACCAAACCTGTTCACGCCAGATGTCCAAGTGATTGAATGAATCAACAGTGCTTGCTCTACATTATCAGGTCACCCACTGGCAGAGTCCGTACATGCATGCTTACTTCCCGGCGCTCAACTCCTACCCGTCGCTACTCGGGGACATGCTCGCCAACGCCATCAGTTCTCTGGGATTCACCTGGGTAAGCATCTCTTTCACGCCCTGGCCCGTAAAGCATATGGTGCCAGACCTATAGTTTGTATTAACAATTCTTCCATGGGGATAAAAGTGCAAGACTATTTTGCAGGCAAGCCAATTCTTGCCAGTTACACAAAGGAAGCCTCATACGCCCGCCAGCGAAAGAGAAACACACTGATAAGAATTTATTCATGTATTAATTTATTAACAGTAAATACAAGGTTATTGCAATTTAAAAACAAGTAGAGTGAGATTAGAGGATCCGGTACTTAATTTATAACTTACCCCTGACGTCACGACAACGTCACGGGAGACATTCCCAATAAATTCTAGGGTGTTCAGGTTGTAGTTTCTCGCGATTTATCTACAGCCAAGTTTAGGGTTAGGGTTAGGGTTAGGATTAGAAGACAACTAGATGAACACTAAAAAAAAAAAAACAGCACACTTCCACCCCTTTAAATAATGGACTGTCAGGTCAGCTGTGGATTTCCCACGGGGATTTCGTGTTTGGGGTACGTTATAAATTAGGAACCGAGGATCCCTTGGGTGTATTGTGAATATAAGGCTAGACTTATATTTTATAGATCAATCGACACTTGCCGGGTGATGTGGTCAGCATCGCGCTAGACGCCTTGACTTCCCAAGACTGCACCAGGTACCTACTCAAGGCTGGGTCGACCTGGGTGCAATGTTTATTGTTTTTTTTTTTTTAGTCTGGCTCTGTCTGGACTTGAACCCGCGACCTTCCGATCGGCAGGCGAGCGTCTAGCCGCTACACCATGACGACTCCCTTCTTGTAATACAAACAGGTGAAATGCTAGAAACGTTGCTTGTGGCCAGAAGGCTTCAGAGGCAATACACCCAAGGGAAGACATCTTGAGCTGAGCACTTCTGCAGTGAGGCTCCGAGAGTATTGTCTCTGACTGTGTTTCCGGCCTTCACACGAAGCCAGTGGGACAGGGGTCTGTTTTGATTTGTCTTTCCGGGAGCTTGATTTTTATTTGAAAAGTTAAATGGGCTTCCTCTCTCTCCGTCTGTCTGATCTGAGGATGTTGAGAATGTGATCAAAAGGAAGACACCAGGCCACTGCAGGTTCCGTGACTGACAATATGTCATGTGTTCCGTGACTGACAATATGTCATGTGTTATGTGACTGACAATATGTCATGTGTTATGTGACTGACAATATGTCATGTTTACCGTGACTGACAATATGTCATGTGTTCCGTGACTGACAATATGTCATGTGTTATGTGACTGACAATATGTCATGTTTTTCGTGACTGACAATATGTCATGTGTTCCGTGACTGACAATATGTCATGTGTTCCGTGACTGACAATATGTCATGTTTTCCGTGACTGACAGTATGTCATGTGTTCCGTGACTGACAATATGTCATGTGTTCCGTGACTGACAATATGTCATGTGTTCCGTGACTGACAGTATGTCATGTGTTCCGTGACTGACAGTATGTTATGTGTTCCGTGACTGACAATATGTCATGTGTTCCGTGACTGACAATATGTTATATGTTCCGTGACTGACAATATATCATGTGTTCCGTGACTGACAATATGTCATGTGTTCCGTGACTAACAGTATGTCATGTGTTTAGTGACTAACAATATGTCATGTGTTCCGTGACTGACAATATGTCATGTGTTCCGTGACTGACAATATGTCATGTGTTCTGTGACTGACAATATGTCATGTCCATCTATGTCCAGGCGTCCAGTCCGGCCTGTACTGAACTGGAGACCATTGTGATGGATTGGCTGGGCAAGATGCTAGGCATGCCTTCCTGTTTCCTCCATGGGGACAGACACAGTCGGAGCATGGGAGGCGGTTGTATACAGGCTAGTGCTTTTTGTTGTTGTGGCTTGGTCATATGTGGCTTTAGTTTTACATGTGGCCTCATGTTGTTTTTGTTGTTTAGAAATGTCGTTTTTGAGGAAAATACAAGGGTAACCATAGACCGACTGAGAAAATGAACCTGACGGTCCTTTATGATACAAGAAAATAGTAAAAGTAGGCATGTGCGGTGAAGATGTGTGGGTACATTACGAGGAGAAACAAACATGACGAATTATTGACAATTGAAAAAGTAGGGTAGTGAAAGACACACACACTCACACAAACACATACACACAAACACGCACACCCTCACTCCCATACTCACACACACACTTTCTCTCTCTCTCTCTCTCAAACACACCCTCACCCGCATACTCTCTCACACACTTTCTCACACGTGATGACATTTCATTGTCAAGACAAGAACACAGACCCTATTTGAGATTCTGGTAATCGCGTGAGATGTCCAACCACATTACCGACGGTAATCGACATGCCACACGATGGTGATAAAATGTGCTACACTTTAATTGAATTATTCAAAAAACAGAAAGTGTATTGATCGGCACTCATAGAAGAAGTAGAAAGATAGAAGAACACACTAGACAACATAAAAATCGGAAGCTATAGTTACCGTGCCGGGAATTGAACCTGTCACCTCCAGACGGCGTCTGCGCCTCGCCATGAATACAAGTGCACTAAGAACATGGTCAACTAGGCACCCATTTATACTTTAATTGGCGCAGATAATCTCAGTGTTGTGATTCATGCATTTATGTATAAAACTACCTTTAACTCTAACACCTCAAAAACGCTCTACTATATCAGATAATTACATGGTAAGTGCAAATACCTCTAGAAGTTAGAGCTGTCTGTCCTTAGCTCTAGAAGTTAGAGCTGTCTGTTCTTAGCTCTAGAAGTTAGAGCTGTCTGTTCTTAGCTCTAGAAGTTAGAGCTGTCTGTTCTTAGCTCTAGAAGTTAGAGCTGTCTGTCCTTAGCTCTAGAAGTTAGAGCTGTCTGTCCTTAGCTCTAGAAGTTAGAGTTGTTTGTCCTTACCTGTAGAAGAGTTGTCTGTCCTTACCTTTAAAAGTAAGAGTTGTTTGTCCTTACCTCTAAATGTTAGAGTTGTCTGTCCTTACCCCTAGAAGTTAGAGTTGTCTGTTCTTACCCCTAGAAGTTAGAGTTGTCTTTCTTTACCTCTAGAAGTTAGAGTTGTCTGTCCTTACCCCTAGAAGCTAGAGTTGTCTGTCCTTACCTTTAAAAGTAAGAGTTGTCTGTCCTCTACAGGAAGTTACCAAAACCAACCCTAGCTTTTTATTTGGCTGTTTGTGATTTCGCTGTGCAATACTACATTAATAAGTTTGCTATTTCTTTCTAAACCCTCGGTTCTCGATACAGTTGTTACAACCAGCGCAAGGCAGCCTGCTGTCAAATCGCTCGCACCTAGGATCGAACCTGGCAGCATGCAGTTAGGAAACACAATAGCCGGTTGTTACATCCATTTGCCACTCCGGCCTTCACTTCTTGCACAGACTAGATCAGTTTACTTTTAGTTTACTTTTTAGTCAACGGATCAACATCATGGCACAAGGGTAGTAACCCATCAGTGCTCCGTTCTACTTCTAACTCAAGCTTCAGTACGAAGATTCTCAGTGCAGTGCACGAACTCTGTTGCACAGGTGGATTTCCTGAAATACTTTGGGTAGATTTTCAACTCCAAATTTTGCCTTGGGTGCGTCGTTGGTCTACTCTTTCCAATGTCCATCTGCCAAGGTATTTTTACGTGCACAATATTACACACGGGCGTCCGATCTTACTACCTTGAGACCAGGGAAAATTACTCGAAATTCACGTGAAATAAATCCCAGCCTTGGCCGGGGTATGAACCCAGATCCTCCAGCCCTCGAGGCGGACGCCATGCCTCGAGACCACGCAGCCCCCAGACTAGATCATTCAGTTGCCACTCCAGCCCCTACCACTTGCACAAACTAGATCATTCGTTGGCTATCCGCTCGCATAAATCAGCCAGAAAGACGTTAAACATACATTCTTGCGTCCATCTCAAACCTTCACCCTTTACAGACTACTGCAAGTGACTGCACCTTCGTGACCCTGTTGGCGGCCAGAACCGAAGCCATCAAACGCTACAAGGTGGGTCAGCCTGACCTGGAGGATGCCGAAATAAACGGCCGTCTCATTGGTTACTGCTCAGATCAGGTAAGTGTTAAACAAGTTTTCATTGGTCACATCAACAAACAAGATCGTTTTGTTTATTGGGTACACTCTTCTAGCAAGGTCATACAGTCTTCTTATTAATACTCAACATTTGAGTTTTTTCGCCATTTTTCGATACCGAGATCAGACAGTCCTCCCGTGTCCCTTACCATCATATCTTGAGGTTTGACAATCTTCCCCCCCCCCCATCCCCCCACACACCCACACACACCTCCACACACACACACATTATGCGCTATGACCCCATAGTCTTCAACAGTTCTTTAACTACCTGGATAACAGATGATGTATGATCAGGACACACAGGCAGTACTTTAATTACCTGGATAACAGATGATGTATGATCAGGACACACAGACAGTTCTTCAACGACCTGGATAACAGATGATGTATGATCAGGACACACAGGCAGTACTTTAATTACCTGGATAACAGATAATGTAGTACTTTAACGAACTGGATAACAGATGATGTATGATCAGGACACACAGGTAGTACTTCAACGACCTGGATAACAGATTATGTATGATCAGGACAGACAGGCAGTACTTCAACGACCTGGATAACAGATGATGTATGATCAGGACACACAGGCAGTACTTTAATTACCTGGATAACAGATGATGTATGATCAGTGCACACAGGCAGTACTTCAACGACATGGATAACAGATGATGTATGATCAGGACACACAGGCAGTACTTTAATTACCTGGATAACAGATGATGTATGATCAGGACACACAGACAATACTTCAACGACCTGGATAACAGATGATGTATGATCAGGACACACAGGCAGTACTTTAATTACCTGGATAACAGATGATGTATGATCAGGACACACAGACAGTACTTCAACGACCTGGATAACAGATGATGTATGATCAGGACAGACAGGCAGTACTTTAACGACCTGGATAACAGATGATGTATGATCAGGACACACAGGCAGTACTTTAATTACCTGGATAACAGATGATGTATGATCAGTGCACACAGGCAGTACTTCAACGACATGGATAACAGATGATGTATGATCAGGACACACAGGCAGTACTTTAATTACCTGGATAACAGATGATGTATGATCAGGACACACAGACAGTACTTCAACGACCTGGATAACAGATGATGTATGATCAGGACACACAGGCAGTACTTTAATTACCTGGATAACAGATGATGTATGATCAGGACACACAGACAGTACTTCAGCGACCTGGATAACAGATGATGTATGATCAGGACACAGGCAGTACTTTAATTACCTGGATAACAGATGATGTATGATCAGGACACACAGGCAGTACTTTAATTACCTGGATAACAGATGATGTATGATCAGGACACACAGGCAGTACTTTAATTACCTGGATAACAGATGGTGTATGATCAGGACACACAGGCAGTACTTTAATTACCTGGATAACAGATGGTGTATGATCAGGACACACAGGCAGTACTTTAACGACCTGGATAACAGATGATGTATGATCAGGACACACAGGCAGTACTTTAACGACATGGATAACAGATGGTGTATGATCAGGACACACAGGTAGTACTTCAACGACCTGGATAACAGATATTGTAGTACTTCAACGACATGGATAACAGATGATGTATGATCAGGACACACAGGCAGTACTTCAACGACCTGGATAACAGATGATGTATGATCAGGACACACGGGCAGTACTTCAACGACATAGATAACATGAACTTTATGATCTTCGAGTGCGCAGCTTCGATTTCCGCGGTGGGCTTTTCTTCTTCTTCTTCTTTTTTTTTCTCTCGATAGAACCGTTCTGGTGGTTTTGGTAGACCACGAGGCAGACCAAGATGACGATGGAAGGTTGATATCTAGACAGACCTACACACACTTGGTGTCACTAACTGGAAAAAGAATGTTTACCAGAGAGATGAGTGGAGGCCAGTGATGTCTGCAGCAATGGACCGTACGAGCTGGCAATGCTCAAGAAGAAGAGGAAGACGTGATTTTTTCGGACAATAATTAGTACGAGAGCCGCACCGTAGAAACGATTATGATCTCATAACCATCATCATCAAGGGCCTTGTCGACTGGCGTGAGTCACTATGCCAGTATATAATCTGCAGTCTTTAACAGTATGTATCATTTCATGTGTTGACATCCCTCCATGTTATGACAAAAAGCCATCAAGAATCTTCTCGCGTTGTCTTCTTGTCTCTCTCTCCATAGATCTTCCCAGTGGTCACAACATGTTCCAGTCTCCTTCTTCTTCTCCTTCTTCTTCTCCTTCTTCTTCTCCTTCTTCTTATACCTTGACCAGAAAATTATACCTGTTTCAACCCCCCCCCCCCCCCCCCGGTGTTTGGGATAAGTTGTCTTTCAGTCTTCGCCTCTTTCAAAACATCTCGTTTGCTCTTCTTGTCTATCCAAGGAATTTTTCTGTATAACAACATCTTCGAGGCCTCAAGAAATTGTTCGGCTTGTTTATTTATTGTCTAGGACTCACATCCGTTTGTTGAAACTGGCTCTATATTGCAGTTAGGGCCTCAGCATGTCACATCCTCAAAGACAGAACCGGAAAAAAACACTGTAACCAACCTTCCTTGTGGAGGCGGCACAGCATTTTTTCAGTAATGGAGTCATATTCAATAGACAAACATATCAGTAATAGAGTCATGTTCCACGGATATAAATTTCAGAAATGGAGTCAAGTTTCATAGACACGTCAGTAATGGAGTCATGTTCCATAGACAGACATGTCAGTAATGAAGTCATGTTCCATAGACAGACATGTCAGTAATGAAGTCATGTTCCATAGACAGACATGTCAGTAATGAAGTCATGTTCCATAGACAGACATGTCAGTAATGAAGTCATGTTCCATAGACAGACATGTCAGTAATGGAGTCATGTTCCATAGACAGACATGTCAGTAATGAAGTCATGTTCTATAGACAGACATGTCAGTAATGGAGTCATGTTCCATAGACATACATGTCAGTAATGGAGTCATGTTCCATAGACAGACATGTCAGTAATGAAGTCATGTTCCATAGACAGACATGTCAGTAATGGAGTCATGTTCCATAGACAGACATGTCAGTAATGAAGTCATGTTCCATAGACAGACATGTCAGTAATAAAGTCATGTTCCATAGACAGACATGCAGTAATGGAGTCATGTTCCATAGACAGACATGTCAGTAATGAAGTCATGTTCTACAGGCCCACTCGTCGGTGGAGAAGGCCGGGCTGATCGGCCTGGTGAAGATGAGGTTCCTGCACTCAGACGACAATCTGAGCCTCAGAGGCGACAGCCTGCAGGAGGCCATCACTGCCGACAGGGAGAGTGGTCTGATTCCTTTCTACGTGAGTCTGTGCTGGTTGTGGTGGTTGTGGTGGTTGTGGTGGTTGTGGTAGTTGTGGTGGTTGTGCTGGTTGTGCTGGTTGTGCTGGTTGTGCTGGTTGTGCTGGTTGTGGTGGTTGTGCTGGTTGTGCTGGTTGTGGTGGTTGTGCTGGTTGTGGTGGTTGTGCTGGTTGTGCTGATTGTGCTGGTTGTGCTGGTTGTGCTGGTTGTGCTGGTTGTGCTGGTTGTGCTGATTGTGCTGGTTGTGGTGGTTGTGCTGGTTGTGCTGGTTGTGCTGGTTGTGCTGATTGTGCTGGTTGTGCTGGTTGTGGTGGTTGTGCTGGTTGTGCTGGTTGTGGTGGTTGTGCTGGTTGTGCTGGTTGTGGTGGTTGTGCTGGTTGTGCTGATTGTGCTGGTTGTGGTGGTTGTGCTGGTTGTGGTGGTTGTGCTGGTTGTGCTGGTTGTGCTGGTTGTGGTGGTTGTGCTGGTTGTGGTGGTTGTGCTGGTTGTGGTGGTTGTGCTGGTTGTGCTTGTTGTGGTGGTATGCCTGTGAGTGGGTTTGTGGCCTGTATGTATGTCTGTGTGTAGCATGTGTGACTGTGTGCATATCTGTGCGGCGTTTGTAGTCTACAAACGTTTGTGGCTGTGTGTGACTCTGAGTGTATGTGTGGCATGTCTAGCTGTGTCTGTAAGTCTCGGTGGCGTTTGTAGTTGTGTGTGTGTGTGTGTGACGTTTGTGGCTGTGGTTTTGTTGTGTGTGTGTGGCGTTTGTGCCTGTGGTTGTGTGTGTGTGTGGCGTTTTTGCCTGTGGTTTTGTGTGTGTGTGTGGCGTTTATAGTTGTGTGTGTGTGTGACGTTTGTGGCTGTGGTTTTGTGTGTGTGTGTGCCGTTTGTGCCTGTGGTTTTGTGTGTGTGTGTGTGGCGTTTGTGCCTGTGGTTTTGTGTGTGTGTGTGTGTGTGGCGTTTGTAGTTGTGTGTGTGTGTGTGTGTGTGTGTTGCTTTTGTAGTTGTGTGTGTGTGTGTGTGGCTTTTGTAGTTGTGTGTGTGACGTTTGTTGATGTGGTTGTGTGTGTGTGTGTGTGTGTGTGTGTGTGTAGCGTTTGTAGTTGTGTGTGTGACGTTTGTGTCTGTCGTTTTGTGTATGTATGTGTGTGATTATAAATTTGAGTAGGAATATAAATGAGAGTGATTGTTTGTTTGTTTGTGAGTGTGTGCTTGTGTGTGTCTGAGTATGAGATTGGCCATTGTAGATGTGTCTGTGTTCAAATTCTATCTACATTATAGTGCGCTTGTGTCTAACTGTGGGACAGCGGGAGGGGGGGGGGGGGATTTATACAATCATGAATGTGTGTTATGTTGGTGTGTGTCTTTGTGGTTGATCCTGATTTATTTGCCTGTAAGTGGATATGTCGATACCGTACTCTAGTCACACTGTCCTACTCCACTTGTCCTACTCTTCCTGTCCTACTCAGCCTGTCCTACTCTATCTGTCCTGTTCTACTTGTCCTCTTCTACCTGTGATGTTCCACCTGTGATGTGTTAAACATGTGATGTTTTGCCTGTCCCGTTCTACCTGTCCCGTTCTACCTGTCCTGTTCTACCTGTCCCGTTCTACCTGTCCTCTTCTACCTGTCCTGTTCTGCCTGTCCTACTCTACGTGTCCTACTGACACCTGAACAATTGTCGGCAGGTGTGCGCCACCTTGGGGACTACCGGTGCCTGCGCCTTTGACAACCTCAGAGAAATTGGACCTGTCTGTGAGTAGCTGACCTGTCTGTGAGTAGCTGTCCTGTCTGTGAGTAGCTGTCCTGTCTGTGAGTAGCTGTCCTGTCTGTGAGTAGCTGTCCTGTCTGTGTTTTTCCACGAGGGGGATTTATGGGCACATACATTTAATCGGTAATTCGTACTAAATAACAGAGATGCTACGGAATAATACTATACAAGTGTTCCCCATTCCACGAGCCGCGGCCTACACGGCGGGCCACGGTCCACACGGCTGGCCGCGGAAATATTACAGCGGGCTACCAACATGTCTGCCTAAATATGTAACAGGTTAGGGTAGGCAGCTTCTTTATTTCACGATTGTTTAGTCGAAAGAACTAACACTCTGGATGAGAGTCACACCGGTGCAAGTAATGCTGAACATAACAAGTCAGCATTTGAAAACATTCGCTAAAAACTTGGACAGGTATTTCCCGGACAATGAAGATCCTCATGAAGGTTGAAAGAAGTCTTTTAATCGAAGATAAATAATCAGACACACGTGATCATCGTGGACAAGACGAGCTGATCGAGCTGTCGCCTGATGTCAGTTTTGTGTGCACACATCAAATACAATCATTGTCTGAGTTGTGGATATCACCCGAAGAAGAATATCCAAATCTGAGTTATATAGTTGTCAGGTCGGCTCTGTGGCTAAGTCGATGCGAACGCTTCGTAATGCCGGGATGCCGGGTTCGATCCCAGCTGCGAGCCATGCGCCTTGCGTTGGTTTCGACAGTGGTATCAAGAAAGCCGACCGTCCAAAAGCAATGGCAAACTACTGGACGTAAATTTGCCTAGAAAAAATACACCAGCCAGGGGCTGTTGGGGTTGGTTCTGCAACGTCCTGTAAAGGATACGCAACTAACCTAAGAGTTGTCAGATTGTTGGTCATGTTTGCGACTTCCTATTTGTGTCAACAGACTTTCTCAACCATGCCAATAATAAAAACTAAAAGAAAGGAATCAAGTGAATGTTACTGCAGCGCTTCGTCTAGCAGATTAACGCTCCCACTGAATAGATTAGATTTTCTAACCTCTAAGTATCAGCAGATGTCACATTAGCTGAACATTGTCATATTGTGACATCGGATTGAGCAGATAAACTGTCATCTACATTTGATTGTTTCTAAATCAAGTTACTTGTCTTTGAAAGCCCTGCCCCAGCTGTCGTTAGGGACCCTAATGTAATCGGTTGAACGGGGTTTCTGGGTCTTGAGCCTGAGGGATTCTCATCCGAATGGAGGCACTTTTTGCCACCCGGTGTTTGACGCTCGTACTTGCTGTCCTGGTGGGATTGAAAGTCACTCACTCATTCAACAACTCACTCACTCACTCACTCACTCATTTCATTGGCTGTCAAGTGCACCACGAGACAATATTCCCTGTTTTGGTGGGCCACGGGATTACAAATGTTGAGAAACACTGTACAGTATAGCAGGACAGACACAAGAATGATTCCTTCTGAAACTGTCACTGTCAAGTTTACCTGAAGCTTCCACTGTCACTGTCAAGTTTACCTGAAGCTTCCAGTGTCACTGTCAAGTTTGCCTGAAGCTTCCACTGTCACTGTCAAGTTTACCTGAAGCTTCCACTGTCACTGTCAAGTTTACCTGAAGCTTCCACTGTCACTGTCAAGTTTACCTGAAGCTTCCACTGTCACTGTCAAGTTTACCTGAAGCTTCCACTGTCACTGTCAAGTTTACCTGAAGCTTCCACCGTCACTGTCAAGTTTACCTGAAGCTTCCACTGTCACTGTCAAGTTTACCTGAAGCTTCCACTGTCACTGTCAAGTTTACCTGAAGCTTCCACTGTCACTGTCAAGTTTACCTGAAGCTTCCACTGTCACTGTCAAGTTTACCTGAAGCTTCCACCGTCACTGTCAAGTTTACCTGAAGCTTCCACCGTCACTGTCAAGTTTACCTGAAGCTTCCACCGTCACTGTCAAGTTTACCTGAAGCTTCCACTGTCACTGTCAAGTTTACCTGAAGCTTCCACTGTCACTGTCAAGTTTACCTGAAGCTTCCACTGTCACTGTCAAGTTTACCTGAAGCTTCCACTGTCACTGTCAAGTTTACCTGAAGCTTCCACTGTCACTGTCAAGTTTACCTGAAGCTTCCACTGTCACTGTCAAGTTTACCTGAAGCTTCCACTGTCACTGTCAAGTTTACCTGAAGCTTCCACTGTCACTGTCAAGTTTACCTGAAGCTTCCACTGTCACTGTCAAGTTTACCTGAAGCTTCCACTGTCACTGTCAAGTTTACCTGAAGCTTCCACTGTCACTGTCAAGTTTACCTGAAGCTTCCACTGTCACTGTCAAGTTTACCTGAAGCTTCCACTGTCACTGTCAAGTTTACCTGAAGCTTCCACTGTCACTGTCAAGTTTGCCTGAAGCTTCCACTGTCACTGTCAAGTTTGCCTGAAGCTTCCACTGTCACTGTCAAGTTTACCTGAAGCTTCCACTGTCACTTGATATTGCTAAACTTGTCTTTCAACTCTGTGCCAGGTGAGAAGGAGCGTTTGTGGCTACACATGGATGCTGCATATGCCGGGTCGGCGTTTATCTGTCCAGAGTACCGGTCCTGGATGTTGGGTGGGTAGGGTTGTCCTTTCTGGTCTCGTCTACCTTCTGTATGTTCACTGTTTTACCTGGTCTCTCACGTGTTGACATATCAACCTTGTCTGTCCAGAGTACCGGTCCTGGATGTTGGGTGGGTAGGGTTGTCCTTTCTGGTCTCGTCTACCTTCTGTATGTTCACTGTTTTACCTGGTCTCTCACGTGTTGACATATCAACCTTGTCTGTCCAGAGTACCGGTCCTGGATGTTGGGTGGGTAGGGTTGTCCTTTCTGGTCTCGTCTACCTTCTGTATGTTCACTGTTTTACCTGGTCTCTCACGTGTTGACATATCAACCTTGTCTGTCCAGAGTACCGGTCCTGGATGTTGGGTGGGTAGGGTTGTCCTTTCTGGTCTCGTCTACCTTCTGTATGTTCACTGTTTTACCTGGTCTCTCACGTGTTGACATATCAACCTTGTCTGTCCAGAGTACCGGTCCTGGATGTTGGGTGGGTAGGGTTGTCCTTTCTGGTCTCGTCTACCTTCTGTATGTTCACTGTTTTACCTGGTCTCTCACGTGTTGACATATCAACCTTGTCTGTCCAGAGTACCGGTCCTGGATGTTGGGTGGGTAGGGTTGTCCTTTCTGGTCTCGTCTTCCTTCTGTATGTTCACTGTTTTACCTGGTCTCTCACGTGTTGACATATCAACCTTGTCTGTCCAGAGTACCGGTCCTGGATGTTGGGTGGGTAGGGTTGTCCTTTCTGGTCTCGTCTACCTTCTGTATGTTCACTGTTTTACCTGGTCTCTCACGTGTCGACATATCAACCTTGTCTGTCCAGAGTACCGGTCCTGGATGTTGGGTGGGTAGGGTTGTCCTTTCTGGTCTCGTCTTCCTTCTGTATGTTTACTGTTTTACCTGGTCTCTCACGTGTTGACATATCAACCTTGTCTGTCCAGAGTACCGGTCCTGGATGTTGGGTGGGTAGGGTTGTCCTTTCTGGTCTCGTCTTCCTTCTGTATGTTCACTGTTTTACCTGGTCTCTCACGTGTTGACATATCAACCTTGTCTGTCCAGAGTACCGGTCCTGGATGTTGGGTGGGTAGGGTTGTCCTTTCTGGTCTCGTCTACCTTCTGTATGTTCACTGTTTTACCTGGTCTCTCACGTGTTGACATATCAACCTTGTCTGTCCAGAGTACCGGTCCTGGATGTTGGGTGGGTAGGGTTGTCCTTTCTGGTCTCGTCTACCTTCTGTATGTTCACTGTTTTACCTGGTCTCTCACGTGTTGACATATCAACCTTGTCTGTCCAGAGTACCGGTCCTGGATGTTGGGTGGGTAGGGTTGTCCTTTCTGGTCTCGTCTACCTTCTGTATGTTCACTGTTTTACCTGGTCTCTCACGTGTTGACATATCAACCTTGTCTGTCCACATCTGTATGTTCACTGTTTTACCTGGTCTTTCACGTGTTGACATATCAACCTTGTCTGTCCAGAGTACCGGTCCTGGATGTTGGGTGGGTAGGGTTGTCCTTTCTGGTCTCGTCTACCTTCTGTATGTTCACTGTTTTACCTGGTCTCTCACGTGTTGACATATCAACCTTGTCTGTCCAGAGTACCGGTCCTGGATGTTGGGTGGGTAGGGTTGTCCTTTCTGGTCTCGTCTACCTTCTGTATGTTCACTGTTTTACCTGGTCTCTCACGTGTTGACATATCAACCTTGTCTGTCCAGAGTACCGGTCCTGGATGTTGGGTGGGTAGGGTTGTCCTTTCTGGTCTCGTCTACCTTCTGTATGTTCACTGTTTTACCTGGTCTCTCACGTGTTGACATATCAACCTTGTCTGTCCACATCTGTATGTTCACTGTTTTACCTGGTCTTTCACGTGTTGACATATCAACCTTGTCTGTCCAGAGTACCGGTCCTGGATGTTGGGTGGGTAGGGTTGTCCTTTCTGGTCTCGTCTACCTTCTGTATGTTCACTGTTTTTACATGGTCTTTCACGTGTTGACATATCAACCTTGTCTGTCCACATCTGTATGTTCACTGTTTTACCTGGTCTCTCACGTGTTGACATATCAACCTTGTCTGTCCAGAGTACCGGTCCTGGATGTTGGGTGGGTAGGGTTGTCCTTTCTGGTCTCGTCTACCTTCTGTATGTTCACTGTTTTACCTGGTCTCTCACGTGTTGACATATCAACCTTGTCTGTCCAGAGTACCGGTCCTGGATGTTGGGTGGGTAGGGTTGTCCTTTCTGGTCTCGTCTACCTTCTGTATGTTCACTGTTTTACCTGGTCTCTCACGTGTTGACATATCAACCTTGTCTGTCCACATCTGTATGTTCACTGTTTTACCTGGTCTTTCACGTGTTGACATATCAACCTTGTCTGTCCAGAGTACCGGTCCTGGATGTTGGGTGGGTAGGGTTGTCCTTTCTGGTCTCGTCTACCTTCTGTATGTTCACTGTTTTACATGGTCTTTCACGTGTTGACATATCAACCTTGTCTGTCCACATCTGTATGTTCACTGTTTTACCTGGTCTCTCACGTGTTGACATATCAACCTTGTCTGTCCAGAGTACCGGTCCTGGATGTTGGGTGGGTAGGGTTGTCCTTTCTGGTCTCGTCTACCTTCTGTATGTTCACTGTTTTACCTGGTCTCTCACGTGTTGACATATCAACCTTGTCTGTCCAGAGTACCGGTCCTGGATGTTGGGTGGGTAGGGTTGTCCTTTCTGGTCTCGTCTACCTTCTGTATGTTCACTGTTTTACCTGGTCTCTCACGTGTTGACATATCAACCTTGTCTGTCCAGAGTACCGGTCCTGGATGTTGGGTGGGTAGGGTTGTCCTTTCTGGTCTCGTCTACCTTCTGTATGTTCACTGTTTTACCTGGTCTCTCACGTGTTGACATATCAACCTTGTCTGTCCAGAGTACCGGTCCTGGATGTTGGGTGGGTAGGGTTGTCCTTTCTGGTCTCGTCTTCCTTCTGTATGTTCACTGTTTTACCTGGTCTCTCACGTGTTGACATATCAACCTTGTCTGTCCAGAGTACCGGTCCTGGATGTTGGGTGGGTAGGGTTGTCCTTTCTGGTCTCGTCTACCTTCTGTATGTTCACTGTTTTACCTGGTCTCTCACGTGTTGACATATCAACCTTGTCTGTCCACATCTGTATGTTCACTGTTTTACCTGGTCTTTCACGTGTTGACATATCAACCTTGTCTGTCCAGAGTACCGGTCCTGGATGTTGGGTGGGTAGGGTTGTCCTTTCTGGTCTCGTCTACCTTCTGTATGTTCACTGTTTTACATGGTCTTTCACGTGTTGACATATCAACCTTGTCTGTCCACATCTGTATGTTCACTGTTTTACCTGGTCTCTCACGTGTTGACATATCAACCTTGTCTGTCCAGAGTACCGGTCCTGGATGTTGGGTGGGTAGGGTTGTCCTTTCTGGTCTCGTCTACCTTCTGTATGTTCACTGTTTTACCTGGTCTCTCACGTGTTGACATATCAACCTTGTCTGTCCAGAGTACCGGTCCTGGATGTTGGGTGGGTAGGGTTGTCCTTTCTGGTCTCGTCTACCTTCTGTATGTTCACTGTTTTACCTGGTCTCTCACGTGTTGACATATCAACCTTGTCTGTCCAGAGTACCGGTCCTGGATGTTGGGTGGGTAGGGTTGTCCTTTCTGGTCTCGTCTACCTTCTGTATGTTCACTGTTTTACCTGGTCTCTCACGTGTTGACATATCAACCTTGTCTGTCCAGAGTACCGGTCCTGGATGTTGGGTGGGTAGGGTTGTCCTTTCTGGTCTCGTCTACCTTCTGTATGTTCACTGTTTTACCTGGTCTCTCACGTGTTGACATATCAACCTTGTCTGTCCAGAGTACCGGTCCTGGATGTTGGGTGGGTAGGGTTGTCCTTTCTGGTCTCGTCTACCTTCTGTATGTTCACTGTTTTACCTGGTCTCTCACGTGTTGACATATCAACCTTGTCTGTCCAGAGTACCGGTCCTGGATGTTGGGTGGGTAGGGTTGTCCTTTCTGGTCTCGTCTACCTTCTGTATGTTCACTGTTTTACCTGGTCTCTCACGTGTTGACATATCAACCTTGTCTGTCCAGAGTACCGGTCCTGGATGTTGGGTGGGTAGGGTTGTCCTTTCTGGTCTCGTCTTCCTTCTGTATGTTCACTGTTTTACCTGGTCTCTCACGTGTTGATATATCAACCTTGTCTGTCCAGAGTACCGGTCCTGGATGTTGGGTGGGTAGGGTTGTCCTTTCTGGTCTCGTCTACCTTCTGTATGTTCACTGTTTTACATGGTCTTTCACGTGTTGACATATCAACCTTGTCTGTCCACATCTGTATGTTCACTGTTTTACCTGGTCTTTCACGTGTTGACATATCAACCTTATCTGTCCAGAGTACCGGTCCTGGATGTTGGGTGGGTAGGGTTGTCCTTTCTGGTCTCGTCTACCTTCTGTATGTTCACTGTTTTACATGGTCTTTCACGTGTTGACATATCAACCTTGTCTGTCCACATCTGTATGTTCACTGTTTTACCTGGTCTTTCACGTGTTGACATATCAATCTCGTCTGTCCACATCTGTATGGCCTGTCATCCATCCATCTATGAAAAACAAAACAAAAAGTCGACAAAGTTTAACCTAAAAATTAGCACAGCTAAGCATGAGAGGCACAGGGAAAGCTATGTTAACCAGCATAAAACTGGCACCAGTAACCACAGGACTTTGATGTATATGTTGAAGGGAGAATCTGAGCACCTATGGATGTATCCGGAGTGCTGCGGAGACAAGCCAACTTATAACCCATTACTCAATTGATGACCTGGCACAAAGATGAATGTTAGACTAGCCATTCGTGAAGTGTTGCAATACATTCTTGTCTGAATGCCCTTGTTATAAACATCAGCTATCTTAGTCTGTCTCACCTAGGCCTAACGTCTGTGTCACCTGTTCCTAAAGTTTGTCTCACCAATGCCTAAAGTCTGTCTCGCTTGTACCTAAAATCTGTCTGACCTGTCTCTAAAATATGTCTCACCTGTGCCTAAAATCTGTCTCACCTGTGCCTAAAGTCTGTCTCATCTGTGTCTAAAGTCTGTCTCACCTGTGCCTAAAGTTTGTCTCACCAATGCCTAAAGTCTGTCTCACCTGTGCCTAAAGTCTGTCTCATCTGTGGCTAAAGTCTGTCTCACCTGTGCCTAAAGTCTGTCTCATCTGTGGCTAAAGTCTGTCTCACCTGTGCCTAAAGTTTGTCTCATCTGTGGCTAAAGTCTGTCTCACCAGTGCCTAAAGTCTGTCTCATATGTGGCTAAAGTCTGTCTCGCCTGTGCCTAAAGTCTGTCTCACCTGTGCCTAAAGTCTGTCTCACCTGTGGCTAAAGTCTGTCTCACCTGTGCCTAAAGTCTGTCTCATATGTGGCTAAAGTCTGTCTCGCCTGTGCCTAAAGTCTGTCTCACCTGGGCCTAAAGTCTGTCTCACTTGTGTATAAAGTCTGTCTCATCTGTGTATAAAGTCTGTCTCATCTGTGGCTAAAGTCTGTCTCACCTGTGCCTAAAGTTTGTCTCATATGTGGCTAAAGTCTGTCTCACTTGTGCCTAAAGTCTGTCTCATATGTGGCTAAAGTCTGTCTCACCTGGGCCTAAAGTCTGTCTCATCTGTGCCCAAAGTCTGTCTCACCTGTGCATAAAGTCTGTCTCACCTGTGCCCAAAGTCTGTCTCACCTGTTCCTAAAGTCTGTCTCACCTGTGTCTATTGTCTGTCTTACCTGTGCCTAAAGTCTGTCTAACCTGTGCCTAAAATCTGTCTCACATGTGTTTATTGTCTGTCTCCCCTGTGCCTAAAGTCTGTCTCACCTGTGCCTAAAGTCTGTCTCACATGTGTCTATAATCTATCTCACCTGTGTCTATTCTCTGTCTCACCTGTGCCTAAAGTCTGTCTCACCTGTGCCTAAAGTCTGTTTCACCTGTGCCCAAAGTCTGTCTCACTTGTGCCTAAAGTCTGTCTCACCTGTGCCTTAAATCTATCTCATCTGTGCCTAAAATCTGTCTCACCTGTGCCTAAAATCTGTCTCACCTGTGCCTAAAGTCTGTCTCGCCTGTCCGACAGGTATCGAGTTTGCCGACTCGTTTGCCTTCAACCCCAGCAAATGGCTCATGGTTCACTTTGACTGCAGCGCTATGTGGGTTAAGGACGCCACAGCTCTCCATCGAACCTTCAACGTGGAACCGCTCTACCTGCAGCACGAGAACTCAGGTAATGTCACAGCATCACCAGCACACATCAGCATCACCACCAAACATCAGCATCAACAGCAAACATCAGCATCACCACCAAACATCAGCATCAACAGCAAACATCAGCATCACCACCAAACATCAGCATCAACAGCAAACATCAGCATCACCACCAAACATCAGCATCAACAGCAAACATCAGCATCACCACCAAACATCAGCATCAACAGCAAACATCAGCATCAACACCAAACACCAGCATCAACACCAAACATCAGCATCAACACCAAACATTAGCATCAACACCAAACATCAGCATAAACACCAAACATCAGCATCAACAGCAAACATCAGCATCACCACCAAACATCAGCATCAACGTCAAACATGAGCACCAAACATCAGCATCAACACCAAACATCAACACCAAACAGCGTCACGGGCAATCATCATCATCAACAAAGTCATTATTGTCATTTATATAATCATTATCTTGGTTGTCACCATAAGCATCAGCATCATCATCAATAACATCATTATCAACAAAGTTGTCATCAACAGCATGTCTATAGCAATATAGTCCATTAGTTTCTAACCTGGTTGGGAAGCGTACCCCGCTAGGGGGCCCAGTCCATTAGTCTCCAACCTGGTTGGGAAGCGTACCCCGCTAGGGGGCCCAGTCCATTAGTCTCCAACCTGGTTGGGAAGCGTACCCCGCTAGGGGGCCCAGTCCATTAGTCTCCAACCTGGTTGGGGAGCGTACCTCGCTAGGGGGCCCATAAAAGTTACCCAGTGCTTTTTGTTTTCTTTTGTTAATTATATATATATATATATATATATATATATATATATATATATATATATATATATATATATTTTTTGCTTTCCGAAAGTGTGCAGACATATAAGTATCAAATGAATTGATGAACTAGAGCAAAGTTTAGGTGCAATTGCTGGGTGACAACCTGATCTTATTGCCAAAGTAGACAGCCATCTCTTAATTTCACCACTTGGAACCCAAAGGTCATCTTCGTTTCCGTCTTCTGATTAAACTTTTTTTTTTTTTGCTTCAGCTTCCTGTTCTTTCTGAAGCTCGAGTAGCTCTTGCTTTTTAAGATTCGTAGAAAGGACGAATATTGACTTTTCGGGCGAATATCAAACAGAAATTGTAACGAATTAAAGAGGATGCATTTTTTTAAAGCGATGAATGTTGGCGTAGACGAATTTTGGAGTTCAATATATATATATATATATATATATATATATATATATATATATATATATATATATATATATACATATATATATATTTATGTGTGTGTGTGTCTGTCTGTTTGTGTGTGTGCGGGCGCGTGCGTGCAATATATAATGTGTTATTGTAAAAGTTGTCTATTTTCCACACACACACACAAACGTTAATAATATCACCAGTGACACCAGGGGTCATGTGCCGAGTCTAACAAACAATCACCAGTGACACCAGGGGTCATGTGCCGAGTCTAACAAACAATCACCAGTGACACCAGGGGTCATGTGCCGAGTCTAACAAACAATCACCAGTGACACCAGGGGTCATGTGCCGAGTCTAACAAACATCACCAGTGACACCAGGGGTCATGTGCCGAGTCTAACAAACAATCACCAGTGACACCAGGGGTCATGTGCCGAGTCTAACAAACAATCACCAGTGACACCAGGGGTCATGTGCCGAGTCTAACAAACAATCACCAGTGACACCAGGGGTCATGTGCCGAGTCTAACAAACAATCACCAGTGACACCAGGGGTCATGTGACGAGTCTAACAAACAATCAGCAGTGACACCAGGGGTCGTGTGCCGAGTCTAACAAACAATCACCAGTGACACCAGGGGTCATGTGCCGAGTCTAACAAACAATCACCAGTGACACCAGGGGTCATGTGACGAGTCTAACAAACAATCAGCAGTGACACCAGGGGTCGTGTGCCGAGTCTAACAAACAATCACCAGTGACACCAGGGGTCATGTGACGAGTCTAACAAACAATCACTAGTGATACCAGGGGTCATGTGCCGAGTCTAACAAACAATCACCAGTGACACCAGGGGTCATGTGCCGAGTCTAACAAACAATCACCAGTGACACCAGGGGTCATGTGCCGAGTCTAACAAACAATCACCAGTGACACCAAGGGTCGTGTGCCGAGTCTAACAAACAATCACCAGTGACACCAGGGGTCGTGTGCCGAGTCTAACAATCACCAGTGACACCAGGGGTCATGTGCCGAGTCTAACAATCACCAGTGACACCAGGGGTCATGTGCCGAGTCTAACAATCACCAGTGACACCAGGGGTCATGTGCCGAGTCTAACAAACAATCACTAGTGACACCAGGGGTCATGTGCCGAGTCTAACAAACAATCACTAGTGACACCAGGGGTCATGTGCCGAGTCTAACAAACAATCACCAGTGACACCAGGGGTCATGTGACGAGTCTAACAAACAATCAGCAGTGACACCAGGGGTCGTGTGCCGAGTCTAACAAACAATCACTAGTGATACCAGGGGTCATGTGCCGAGTCTAACAAACAATCACCAGTGACACCAGGGGTCATGTGCCGAGTCTAACAAACAATCACCAGTGACACCAGGGGTCATGTGCCGAGTCTAACAAACAATCACCAGTGACACCAGGGGTCGTGTGCCGAGTCTAACAAACAATCACCAGTGACACCAGGGGTCGTGTGCCGAGTCTAACAATCACCAGTGACACCAGGGGTCATGTGCCGAGTCTAACAATCACCAGTGACACCAGGGGTCATGTGCCGAGTCTAACAATCACCAGTGACACCAGGGGTCATGTGCCGAGTCTAACAAACAATCACCAGTGACACCAGGGGTCATGTGCCGAGTCTAACAATCACCAGTGACACCAGGGGTCATGTGCCGAGTCTAACAAACAATCACCAGTGACACCAGGGGTCATGTGCCGAGTCTAACAATCACCAGTGAAACCAGGGGTCATGTGCCGAGTCTAACAATCACCAGTGACACCAGGGGTCATGTGCCGAGTCTAACAAACAATCACCAGTGACACCAGGGGTCATGTGCCGAGTCTAACAATCACCAGTGACACCAGGGGTCATGTGCCGAGTCTAACAAACAATCACCAGTGACACCAGGGGTCGTGTGCCGAGTCTAACAAACAATCACCAGTGACACCAGGGGTCATGTGCCGAGTCTAACAAACAATCACCAGTGACACCAGGGGTCATGTGCCGAGTCTAACAAACAATCTCTTGTCATCCACAGGTGCAGCCATCGACTATATGGTAAGTGGCAGAACTAGGGGGTCATTGTATACAAGAAGTGGACAGCGGTCAGTTAGAGTGTAAGCTAAATCTACATGCTAGAGAAGGTAGTTGCCTATGTTTTACAGGACGGTGAAGAACCCACTGCAGCAATTTTAGAGGTTTTTGCGGATTCTCTAGACACATTTACATGTCAGTAGTTTGCCATTGTTCTCTAAACAGTCGGCTCTTGATACCACTGTGGAAAGTAATGCAAGGTGATCTGGTGTCAAATCGCCTGCAGCTGGGATCGAACCCGGTAACTTGGGATTAGGAATCGCGTTGGCAACGCCTACGCCACAGTTTCGTCTAGTGAAGACTAGCTGATAAACGCAATTACCAACAAATCTTTCATCATCGTCATAAACCACTTCCGAACCAATGGTCAAGGGTTCAAATTGGGATCTCCAGCTCTGTGTTTCTGGGGTCCCAGAATTGATCCACTGAGCGTATCGTAAGAGTCGACTAATTATTGGTTTCCTTTGAAATCAAAGTGCATCAGCCTAAGATGGAAGAAACCAAGAGTCTGCATAGATAAAAGCCACATATGTAAAATGTAAATGCACGCAACGTTCTTCAACAAGACCAAAGTCCAGAAATGGACGAAACACCAGAACTTTCAGCTGATGTTTACAGCCAGTGAACGTGATGATGATGATGATGATGATGATGATGATGAAGGAGAAGAAGAAGAAGAAGAAGAAGAAGAAGAAGAAGAAGAAGAAGAAGAAGAAGAAGAAGAAGAAGAAGAAGAAGAAGAAGAAGAAGAAGAAGAAGAAGAAGAAGAAGAAGAAGAAGAAGAAGAAGAAGAAGAAAGAAGAAGAAGAAGAAGAAGAAGAAGAAGAAGAAGAAGAAGAAGAAGAAGAAGAAGAAGAAGAAGAAGAAGAAGAAGAAGAAGAAGAAGAAGAAGAAGAAGAAGAAGAAGAAGAAGAAGAAGAAGAAGAAGAAGAAGAAGAAGAAGAAGAAGAAGAAGAAGAAGAAGAAGAAGAAGAAAAAGAAGAAGAAAAAAGAAAAAGAAAAAGAAGAAGAAGAAGAAGAAGAAGAAGAAGAAGGAGGAGGAGGAGGAGGAGGATGAGGAGGAGACTCCGCATACATTTGGATTTATTTATGTTTTTCAAAATTGACTTCGGCTTTCAGGTCGACCTTGCTTAAATGGGGTAGGAGTTCAAGTCATGGGATGTAAAGGCGGCAGGCGTGATGCTGACTAAATGACCACAGAATGCCGATCGCTCTTTGAAATATGTCTCATTTATCATACTCTGTATGGGCCATTTATGTAAAATGGATGTTCTTATTTTTAACCCGTTCATAGAAGGTATAAAAAGACAATGTATTGTTTGATCTATTATTGATTTATGAATGGACATCATAGCACAACGGGCACACCCATAGACGCTCCGTCTCCTGCAGCAAATGTCTCAAGGTGTAAATGCTAACTGTTCCCGTAGCACACTGATTATACACACGTCGTTTCCTCCTCTCATACGTCCGTTCTTGTCGGATCCACTCTTAATTCCTTGTTCACACATTCTTGCACGTTATTTCATATTACTTCGTGGTGTTTTTTTTTAAAGACAACTGTAAAGCAGTCTAAATACCTGATGAGACTGATGCCCCGTCAGCTACCTCTTAGTGTAAGCAAGAATACTGAAAAGGTTTTAGAATCGATGTGTGTCCACAGTATGTATGATACACTGCACAGTATGTATGATACACTGCACAGTATGTATGATACACTCCACAGTATGTATGATACACTCCACAGTATGTATGATACACTCCACAGTATGTATGATACACTCCACAGTATGTATGATACACTCCACAGTATGTATGATACACTCCACAGTATGTATGATACACTCCACAGTATGTATGATACACTCCACAGTATGTATGATACACTCCACAGTATGTATGATACACTCCACAGTATGTATGATACACTCCACAGTATGTATGATACACTCCACAGTGTGTATGATACACTCCACAGTATGTATGATACACTCCACAGTATGTATGATACACTCCACAGTATGTATGATACACTCCACAGTATGTATGATACACTCCACAGTATGTATGATACACTCCACAGTGTGTATGATACACTCTACAGTATGTATGATACACTCCACAGTGTGTATGATACACTCCACAGTGTGTATGATACACTCTACAGTATGTATGATACACTCCACAGTGTGTATGATACACTCCACAGTATGTATGATACACTCCACAGTGTGTATGATACACTCCACAGTATGTATGATACACTCCACAGTATGTATGATACACTCCACAGTGTGTATGATACACTCCACAGTATGTATGATACACTCCACAGTATGTATGATACACTCCACAGTATGTATGATACACTCCACAGTATGTATGATACACTCCACAGTATGTATGATACACTCCACAGTATGTATGATACACTCCACAGTATGTATGATACACTCCACAGTATGTATGATACACTATACAGTATGTATGATACACTCCACAGTATGTATGATACATCGTGAAGACCCATCTCCGCGCTTTCAGTAGATTTTGGCTAATACCGGGCTAGACTTATATTCTATACACCAATCGCGACTCTGTGGCTGATGTGGTCAGCATCAGGCTGTCCGCTTTTACTTCCCACGACTTTACCTGGTAGCCACTACAAGCTGGGTTGCCTGGGAGCCAAGGTGAGACTCGAACTCATGACCTCCCTACCCACAGACAAGAGTCTAGTCGTCACAACACGGCGGCTTTCCATGTGTAATATACATGTGTGTAGACAAACTGTCGCGTCAAGTTTACCCACTGAGTTCAAAGTCGACACACATAGAAGCACAGGCAGACAGACGGCGAGTAGATGGGTTGGCGGACAGATAGACAGACAGAAGGATGGACAGACAAACGATTGATGTTGGTTGTTAGAATGACCTTTAATGACAACATCCGGTTTCCTGACCTTACAGCACTGGCAGATCGCTCTCAGTCGCAGGTTTCGATCGCTGAAGCTCTGGTTCGTCCTCAGGTGTTTCGGCGTGGAGGGTCTTCAGAAGCACATCCGGAGGGTAAGGAGTACCATCTTATGCTTTCATCCGTTATAGCATAACATTAACAGCTCCATAATTATTATCTTTACCAGATTTGTCATCATTATTTTAATTTTGCTCAAAGTAAAATAGTGCTGGTACCACAATGTCATAAAAAGTTACCGTTATCAACAAAACGTGTCTGTTACAGTAGCTATGAACACGTGAGGTCAACAAAAAATGTCTGTTACAGTAGCTATGAACAAACTATGTCTTTAAAAAGTCTGCTAGTATAACGTATTGTTGCCTACCGCCGAGGAGAAAAAAGCCTTTGTCATTGCTTATCATCATACAAATCGTCACTTTTGGAAGTATCGTTAGATAATACCGTACTATTAATTTGTTAACATCTAATGTTGATTTGTGCCGCGTTGTTCAAAGTAGATATTTTAATCAAAATAAGGAACAAAAGATACTTTTGTGTGATTATGGCTTTCATGTTTATCCTGATAGTGCTACCAGTGCCAAACGTGGACTCTCACTATAAATATGAGCTGAAGAGCGTAACATGAGAGATGAGATGTCTTAGCAGAGCTGCTGGTGTCACAAGAAGAGATCAGATCAGGAATGAAGAAATTAGAAGAAGACTAGGACAGAAACCAGTCATTCAGTTCATGAAAGAAAAACAAATGAGATGGTTTGGCCACCTGACGAGAATGCCCTGATACCAACTGCAGACATTTAATGAACACAGAGCAAGGGAAAAACCCCACGCAAGAGATGGAGTGACATGTTTAGAAGCAGCCTAACAGAAATGAACACCAACGTGTGATGCATTGGAAAAAGCTCACGAACGACCCTTACATCCCCCCCCCCCCCCGCCGCCTCCCCCAAAACCCCTCGCTGAGGTAAATAGTAGAAAAAGAACAAGAAGAAAAAGAACAAAAAGAACAATAAAAAGAAAAAGACGAAAAAGATGATTATCCTGCACTGTATACTAATTAAATAATTAACTGCTTGAATACGTTGTATTGTGAACTCAGACTGACAGTTAATTACCATATAACAGGCGGGAGGGTCGGCGGGGGGGGGGGGGGGGGGGGTGCTGCGTGGTCTCGACCCATGGTGTCCGCCTCGAGTGCTGGAGGTTCCGGGTTCAATCCCCGGTAAGGGTTGGGATTTTTTTCACATGGACTTGGACTTCTAGTAATTCCCCCTGGTCTATGAGTAGTGAAATCGGACGCCCGTGTGTAGTGTTGCGCAAGTAAAAAATCATTTGGCAGTTGGAAATCGAAAAGAGTAGCCTAACGGCGCTGCCAGGGCAAAATTTGAAGTTAAAAATCTACCTAAAGTATTTCAGGATCCTTGCCGGTGCTACAGAGCCTGTGCACTGTGCTGAGCTTCTTCGGACTCAGACATGAGTTAGAAGAAGAACGGAGCATTTATGGGTTACTATCCGTATGCCATGATTTTGATCCGTTGTTCAAACCTACCATATAATATAGGAAACGGTGGTGGGAAAGGCGGGGAGAAAAGGGGGGGGGGGGGTCGTCCCTGTAATTGTGTGTTGGAGAGACTATGGACAAAAAGATTTTTTAGTGAACTTACCTTCAGTAATAAATGTTATATAGGAATAGCAAGGGGAGGCGACTTCCTGGAAATATTAATTTTTCTTTAAAGCCCTTACCCATGCTAATTGATCACACCTCGCCGCAGGGTGATAGTCACTTATGGAGTGATACTTGGCAGACAAGCCGAAAGCCAGACAAACAGACTGGTAGCTAGACTAAAAGGTATTCAGGCCAACAGCTAGATAGACAGACGAATAGGTCGCTAGACGGACAGACAGGTGGTTGGAGACTAAACTAGGCAGACGGTTGTGGTAAGGCGTTAGTTTTGTATTATTTTTAGGACGTAATTTTTTGTTATTTGAAGCCCCACTCTGGCTTTTGCCAGGGGACGCAATATAGGCAGGCCATAAATATGACCAATTGTCCTGACGCGGTTTCTGGGACCTCTCCACGGCGATCCTCACCCACATGGTGGCATTTTGTGTCATCGGGTGTTTATCGCTTGTGTGATGTCCTGGTGGGGTAGAAAGTCAGCTCAGCTCAGTTAGGTGAGGTGCTCAACGGACAACTAGACAGGCTGTGGGATGAACAGACAGCCAGACACACAGTTCAGTAGATAGACAGTCAAGCAGACAGGTGGTTCGGTGATCAGCCCTACAGACAGATAAACAGGCAGCTCGACAAGCAGGCAAACAGGCAGCTCAGCAGACAGACAGGTAGATAGAAAAATAAACAAATAGGTATAACGATCTAGCTTGTCTTGTATGTGTCTGTCTGACAGGGCGTGGAGCTGGCGATGAAATTCGAGGATCTGGTGCGGTCAGATCACAGGTTCGAGGTTTCTGCCCCTAGGCATCTGGGCATGGTGGTCTTCAGGATTGCCGTGAGTTGCTTGTCTGTTGACTTGTCTCATCGTGTTCAGGTGTTTCCTATCTATTCACTTTACAGGCAGCACAATGGAACCGACAATCAAATCTTCTTTATATGTTTTCTGAATCCTGCAACAGCATTACCGTCTCATGTGCTTATTATTGTTGTTGTCTTTGTTATTCCACGTATGCTTGGTTAATATGAATTTCTTCTTTCTTTTTCTTATTCTTCGTCTTTTTCTTCGTTTTCTTCTTCTTGTTCTTCTTCTTGTTCTTCTTCTTCTTTTTCTTCTTCTTCTTCTTCTTCTTCTTCTTCTTCTTCTTCTTCTTCTTCTTCTTCTTCTTCTTCTTCTTCTTCTTCTTCTTCTTCTTCCTCTTCTTCTTCTTCTTTTTCTTTTTCTTTTTTTCTTCTTCTTCTTCTTCTTCTTCTTCTTCTTCTTCTTCTTCTTCTTCTTCTTCTTCTTCTTCTTCTTCTTCTTCTTCTTCTTCTTCTTCTTCTTCTTCTTCTTCCTCTTCTTCTTTGTTCACCAGCTGTAGGCTCCAGTGAAAAGTCTTGGTTGTTCGTCCACTGAGACTTTGACTCTGTCACAGGGAGCCGTGTCTAACACACTGTCTTTCCTGTCACAGGGAGCCATGTCTAACAAACTGTCCTTCCTGTCACAGGGAGCCATGTCTAACATACTGTCCTTCCTGTCACAGGGAGTCATGTCTAACACACTGTCCTTCCTGTCACAGGGAGCCATGTCTAACACACTGTCCTTCCTGTCACAGGGAGCCATGTCTAACACACTGTCCTTCCTGTCACAGGGAGTCATGTCTAACACACTGTCCTTTCTGTCACAGGGAGTCATGTCTAACACACTGTCCTTCCTGTCACAGGGAGTCATGTCTAACACACTGTCCTTTCTGTCACAGGGAGCCAATGAACTGACGGAGGAGCTGCTCAAGAGGCTCAACAAACAGGGCAAAGTTCACATGGTGCCCGCCAGCCTCAAGGGCAACTACGTCATCAGGTTTACCGTGACCTCACAGTTCACAACGGAAGTCGACATTGAGAGGTCAAGAGTTTTCTAGTCGGCCATGGTGTGAATGTGACTCTCTCCGATGGTGTGAATGTGAATCTCTCTGATAGGTGTGAATGTGAATCTCTCTGATGGTGATAATGTGAATCTCTCCCATGGTGTTAATGTGAGTCTCTCTGATAGTGTTAATGTGAATCTCTCCCAGGGTGTTAATATGACTCTCTCTGATGGTGTTAATGTGACTCTCTGATGGTGTTAATGTGACTCTCTGATGGTGTTAATGTGACTCTCTCTGATGGTGTTTATGTGACTCTCCCCGAAGGTGTGACTGTGACTCCTGGTGGTGTGAATGTGGCTCTCTCTCTCTGAAGGTGTTAATGTGACTCTCTCTCTCTCTCTCTGATAGTGTTAATGTGACTCTCTCTCTCTCTCTCTCTGATGGTGTGAATGTGACTTCTGGTGGTGTGAATGTGACTCTCCCCGATGGTGTGACTGTGACTCTCTCTGATGGTGTTAATGTGGCTCTCTCTCTGAAGGTTTTAATGTGACTCTCTTTCTCTCTCTCTCTCTGATAGTGTGAATGTGACTTCTGGTGGTGTGAATGTGACTCTCCCCGATGGTGTAAATGTGACTCTCTCTGATGGTGTTAATGTGACTCTCTCTCTGAAGGTGTTAATGTGGCTCTCTCTCTGGAGGTGTTAATGTGACTCTCTCTCTCTCTCTCTCTCTCTGATGGTGTGAATGTGACTTCTGGTGGTGTGAATGTGACTCTCCCCGATGGTGTGAATGTGACTCTCTCTGATGGTGTTAATGTGACTCTCTCTCTCTCTCTCTCTGATGGTGTTAATGCGACTCTCTCTCTCTCTCTAATGGTGTTAATGTGACTCTCCCCGATGGTGTGATTGTGACTTCTGGTGGTGTGAATGTGACTTTCCCCGATGGTGTGAATGTGACTTTCCCCGATGGTGTGAATGTGACTCTCTCTGATGTTGTTAATGTGTCTCTCTCTCTGAAGGTGTTAATGTGACTCTCTCTGATGGTGTTAATGTGACTCTCTGATGGTGTTAATGTGACTCTCTGATGGTGTTAATGTGACTCTCTGATGGTGTTAATGTGACTCTCTGATAGTGTTAATGTGACTCTCTGATGGTGTGAATGTGACTCTCCCTGATGGTGTTAATGTGACTCTCCCTCTGATGGTATTAATGTGACTCTCCCTGATGGTGTTAATGTGACTCTCTCTGATGGTGTTAATGTGACTCTCTGATGGTGTTAATGTGACTCTCTGATGGTGTGAATGTGACTCTCCCTGATGGTGTTAATGTGACTCTCCCTCTGATGGTATTAATGTGACTCTCCCTGATGGTGTTAATGTGACTCTCTCTGATGGTGTTAATGTGACTCTCTGATGGTGTTAATGTGACTCTCTGATGGTGTTAATGTGACTCTCTCTGATGGTGTGAATGTGACTCTCTCTGATGGTGTTAATGTGGTTCTCTCTCTGAAGGTGTTAATGTGACTCTCTCTCTCTCTGATGGTGTTAATGTGACTCTCTGATGGTGTTAATGTGACTCTCTCTGATGGTGTTAAAGTGACTCTCCCCGATGGTGTGAATGTGACTCCTGGTGGTGTGAATGTGACTCTCCCCGATGGTGTGAATGTGACTCTCTCTGATGGTGTTAATGTTGCTATTTCTCTCTGAAGGTGTTAATGTGACTTTCTCTCTCTCTCTGATGGTGTTAATATGACTCTGTCTCTCTCTCTCTGATGGTGTTAATGTGACTCTCTGATGGTGTGAATGTGACTCTCCCCGATGGTGTGAATGTGACTCTCTCTCTGATGGTGTTAATGTGACTCTCCCCGATGATATCTATCAATCTCTCCTGGTGGTGGTTGGGGGGGGGGGGGGTGGAGGTGTAAATGTGACTTTCTCATGGGTGAATGTCTCATGGTGTTAATATGACTTTCTCATGGGTTAATGTTTGTGAATGTGACTCTTTTGGAGGGTGAATGTGACTGTCTCCTAGTGTGAATATGACTCTCTCATTTGGTGAATGTGAGTGAATGTGACTCTCCTTGTGGTGAATCGTGCTTCTTTCAAACATGCCTAATTTCCCTTTTCATCGTGTTGATTTGATTTACCGTGGAGGTACACACATTGCACATATTTGATTTATTGTCTGAACAACAAACGTTGTTCAACTCTTTTAGTCCCAAATAACGCATCATACTTCATGGGTTCCTACCTAAAAGCCCAGTGAACGCTAGATAGTTTTCAGGGTTGAAAAAAAAAATTTTTTGAAAGGGCATACAAAAGTAAAATAATGCATGTTTAAACATGTTTTCTGTGGCGTGTGCGCCTCACAGTGGAAATAAGTGTACTAAGAACATGACTAACGATTCACCCCTAAAGGGCTGTCTTTATTGGCCATGTCTGAAATTCTGTTAGTGTTCGTTATCATCATCATGTAGCAGGTCTTTTGCACAACGTCGCTCCCATCACGGTCTGCTTGAAAGTACTCGATCTCTCCACTGGTCATGACTTTTTATACTCAAGGAGTTACTTATATCCTGTGCCCATCTTCGTGTCGGTCGGCCCCTGCCCCTCCTTCCTGGTACCATGCCTTCTGCTAATATTCTTTTCAGTCCGCCATGGCGCTTGATATGACCAAAATATTTCAGCTTCCGAGACAAGATGCTGTTTATGAGCCAATCTTCCTTGATGTTCAGATCTTTCAGAATATCAGTATTTCTTTTCTTCTTTGTCCGTGGTATCCTGACAATTTTTCTAAAGCATTTTAGTTCAAAATCTCATATGTTCTTTCTTAAGGAATGAGAGATAGCCCATGACTTACATCTGTATGTTGCTACAGGGAAGATGGGAGATAGTCCCCGACTTACATCTGTATGTTGCTACAGGGAAGATGGGAGATAGTCCCCGACTTACATCTGTATGTTGCTACAGGGAAGATGGGAGATAGTCCACGAGTTACATCTGTATGTTGCTACAGGGAAGATGGGAGATAGTCCCCGTCTTACATCCGTATGTTGCTACAGGGAAAATGGAAGATAGTACCCGACTTACATCTGTATGTTGCTACAGGGAAGATGGGAGATAGTCCCCGACTTACATCCGTATGTTGCTAGAGAAAAGATGTAAACTCTCAAAATGTTAACTTTGATTTCCTTGCTTGTGATTACCCATAAAATTGTAACACTGTTTAATGTATTTAGTTTACTCTCCGACCTTTTTCTGGATGTGTCATGCAAGTTTTTTAGTCATAACACGTCGCCAAATTCTTCTTCTTATTGTCTCTAGGAGAACTGACACGTCTATGTTTGTTTACTTACAGGGACTGGCAGGTGATCACAGACATGGCTCAGCTGGTTCTCCGGGAAGCCCTGGTCAGAGAGGAGATCTGTGTTGATGAAAGCGAAGAGGACAACGACGATGAAGACAAAGACGACGCCTTGACTTCCAACATGGCAGATGGCGATGTCGGCTGCAAGCAGAACGAAGGCTCAGGAATTTCCAGCAGACATGGGAGTCTGGTTTCCAATGGGGAAGTAGTTGCTAGGAAACGCCCGGTGCTGCACTCGTTTTCCCACCCAAAAGGGGCTGCCCCCAGACGCCGAGAGTTCGGCATCAGTTTGTTGCTTAGCAACGTGCCGATGAGTCCCAAAGTTGTGAATGGAAGTTTTGCCGCGTTGTTTGATGGGAATAACCTAGACCTGGACAGACTGGCCCGGCAGTTGATCGTCGGGGGAGAGTTCATTCGGTTGTCTCCAAGGAAACGAGGGAAGCTGAGCGTTTACGACAAACAAATGAGTCTAGACTACAGCGTCTTTGGTGACAGGAGGGATAGCCCTCATCGCATGAAAATGATGGGTAGTCTTGACAGCAAGATAGACGACATCTTGGAGTTCGGTTCCAAGGCACAGGCGGAGGGTCAGAGAAAGCCACGTCAAGGAGGGGTCTATACGGAAGTGGATGAAGAGGAGGAGGAGGAAGACGGAGGCGAAGAGATGGTGGAGTACATATCAAATGAAGAAGGTAATAAGGATGGGGACAGGATTAGGAAAGGAAATCATGTCAATAGACATGAAGGGCGGGTTTTTGACGACGACAAAGATGACATTGTCGACAAAGAAAACTGGGACACTGGTCATGGGGAAAACATCAGTGAAGCTTTCAGGGCTCATAAAAAACAGCAGGTCACGGATAAACAAGATCAGGAGGACTTTCGTGAAGAAAAGGTATCAATTCTAGGAAATAGACCAGATGCTCAGGTGCAAAGGCACTCAAACGTTAAGGACGTTGGGTCAGATGGAGATGGGGTCCAGCAGAGAGAGATCCCGGAAGTGAGTGTCGGATTTGTGAAGCCTGGCTCTAGCAACAGCCGGACTGTTCTTGAAATCAGCAAAGCCGTCTGCTCCAAGGTGAAGGATGTCTTCACCATCTTCCCGAGCAGCACCCTGCAGGCCAGCTCCCCACAGAATGCTTCGGCAAACCCTCGTCGTTCCACTTCCTACTCCTCGCCCTCAGGCGCCCCCGCCGACTACTATGTTCGGGGTTACTGCAAGTATTGCGGGAGCGCCCTGGCTGGTGACGCCCTGAAGGGCGGCAAGACGTCCACATGCATGAACTGACTACATTTATGTTAAGCAGTCTCGTCAGCATTTACCTTGGTGTGCTTGCAACACAGAGAACTTAGAACCTCCCTAGACGTGTCCGCATCATAATCCAGTCTCAATGCTTTCATAAAGTCATTTAAAGCTTTTTTTTATCAGCCTTCGTACCCCATTAGATCAACAATGCAGACATGTTTTTTGTTTAATTAATAATAATTATAATGCATAATATAGATACTGTGTTTAGTCACTTGATGTTACCAAATGCATCTTTCAGATAATTGTGTGTAGTGGGTAGAATGGTATTCCATAACACGCTCCATTGATTGTTTTATGGGTAGTTGGCATTCCATAGGACATTGTGCAACTTGTTCATATTTCATGAAGCTGTCTTGTACATTTCCAACGACTGTATATAAA